GAATTCGTTGATATTATGCGAATCATATACGGAATACCTCTTATTTTATTTCTATTCTCTTTATTTTGAGGAAGATATGATAAACGTACGAAATGCACGACAAATACAAGTGAAACTTGCATTTATTTTTATGCGTTGAAATGATAAATGGACGCAAGTAGTGAAAGAATTTTCAGCATTCTGCAATAACAGGTGTACCAGGAATTCTCTGACCGCCCTTGATATCGAGTCCATACTGATGGAGATTCGCGGCAAGGGTACGAGACAACGTAGCACGATTCGGTCAAATTTGCATGCATTAACGCCACAAGCGCGACTGATTGACAATCCGTGTGTCATTGTGACGTCAGTCAAATCGCTCGAGCATCCTCGACCAATCGCAATCAATTAAGGTAACGATTGATTGTTACGCGTTTGGACTCGACGAAGGGAATACCGCGAGCCAGTATTTATGCGGATGATAGACGTGCCATTGAAAATCACAATATCGCCATCGACGGGGGACCAGCTTGAAACTTCGTATATTTAATGGGTCGGTTTAAAGTACTTTTATCTACGCCTGAATTTTATACATATTTTTCTACCTATAAGCAAATAGTAAAAAATTTACCTTTTACTCAAATCAATGATACAAAAAAATAATCAGTATTTAAGAATATTATAAACCGGGAAAATGTCGAGTCGGGATGGCGACAGACTCTCGAAAACATTGGGAATAATAATAGTATTTTATTTTGTATAAAAAGATTAATCGTTACTTATTTCTCTTTATTACTTATAGTAAGTTACTTTCGTTATTAATAATTCGTTCTTAATTTCGTTATTAATTAATCGTTACTTATTATAAACATTTCCAATAATGACATTCATGATAATAAATCTTCCATTCAAGCTTCCGAACAGTTTGAAAACGTACTATATTCCTTCTTTCACGAATCGTATTAACGTTCATCGCGGCATTAATCGGCCGGCGTGCCATTTTCCCCGTGAAAAATTCAGCCGTGTCGTCCCCTCGAAGGGGCCATACGTCCAGGAAAACGAAACGATCGTCGTCGCGCGCAACCCGAAATGGAATCCGTCAAATTGACGGAGGGTTAGGCGTATAACGGAGAGACGCGTACGCTGAGGGTCGCGGCACTCGAACGAGCAGAGAGGAGGAAAACGGTCGTGTGCAATGGCATGACACAGCGGAGGGCATACGCGAGGGCTATGATCGATGCCCTGAAATTAAGGGCTCGCCCGTCCAACGAAACAAAGTTAACCAATCGGGCCATCGAATGGCTTGTTCGGTCGTTATTGGCCCCGGCGGTTCTGGTTCGCGTCGCGACGACCTGATGCCCGATTTTTTTCACGCTGTCCCTTATTTTCAACGGGGATCGCCCTCCCGGCGCGGAGTTCCAATTGCAGTTAAAGAAAAACTGATACAGGGAGGCAAGGTACGGTGGTATCCAGGAACTGGCCACGGATGGGGGAGCGGATTTTCGTAATTATGGAACGGCGTTAGTCCCGGGGGATTCGTCAGTCGACGGGAAAGCCCCTGGCGCCGTACGGCCACGACAATGCCATTTTAATTATGCATGTTAATTGGTTTCCGAGTCCGGCGTAATACCAGATTCCCTACGACTATTCTCGCGATGCGTCTCCTCGTCATGTTGTTCATGATCGATCTGATGCATCGATCGAACCGACTGATCTTCTCCTCCGAGTACAACTTATTTCATTCCATATAGAATTTTGAATAAATCATACGATTTTACGAGATGTACGAAGATTATGTGATTAGAGTTTCTTGAAAGTGTTCACGAACTTAAACTATCACCGAAGTGTTAGACATTAAATTATACCGCAAATTGCTAAAATTGTTTCCTCATAGAAATTTACTCGTCATACATTTTGTACATTATGATGAAAATAATTAATTACAATCTATTTTCCAACGTGATGTGACTGAACGTTTAAGTTGATCTTGAACTCTCTTTTTCTAGCAAAATCTTCCCTTCGACGTTTCGCGAGGGAGAGTGATGGGGTGAAAAAATGGCTACGCTCTGGTATAGGATCCGCTTTTGTTTTTTTGTTCTTTTTTTTTAGCGAGATATACAGGATTGATGCGGACTGCGTTGTACTTTCTGCACAGCTGAGTGAGCATGTCACAATCGACCAGGACCGCCTCAATCAAAGTGGCATTGATACCCTTCGCCCGTTCTCTCGATCGGGCCCTCGCGCTCTCCATTGCGGTTTTGTTCGAGACCGAAAATCTATTAGCCTACCAACGTATATACACACATATTTTCCGCTACGTCACTTCTGTACGTGATAGAAACTAATTTTACCGATAAAAGCATAAAATGCTTGTTTACTTTCAATTTAGCATTCCATTATCAATGATAAAACCAATAATTCCAGATTTTTAAAATAACACGTTTAATCGTAAGTTTCAGATATTAGCGAATGTTCTGTAAAAATGTTGAATTTGATTTTAGAATTGAATGCTTGTGAACACCATATTTTAGCACGTTTATGTAAATACATGATAAACATATAATTCGCATAGTAAATGAATCTTCTAATCCCGTGAATCGTCCATTTACTCAACGGTTGGCACGATCTACCACAAACCAAGCTAAGTTAGGGTGGCGCTCGATGTGACACGCGACCGCAACGTGGCTGCATTTACATTATATCGCGGTTTATACGATGTTACTTTGGTGCGTGCGTGTCGTCTGCTAAACCAGCATTTTCGAGATTAATTTTTCTAATGCTCTCTGTCCGACAAGATCTGCTTCGATGGAAATTTATTAAGACACGAGTAACACAGTAATGCTCGCGTTGTAATTATTCTACTACCAATCCCTATTAACCCCGACAAATATCGAATCAATAATAACCCCATGACTCGAGCAACGTTTCTACTAAAATACTTTTAATATTGTTAGCTTAACAAAATACTATTAAGTTTCTGTTAATGAAATATCGTTAATAGAACATCTTGCTAGTATACACATGTACTTTAAAGATTTTTCATGAAGTATGAACTATATTTAATAATGCTGCTGTTTTGGAGTGTAAAAGTAAGCCGTTCCGAGTAAAAAACTCATTTTCTCAACAGCCATAAACAACACCTATCGGGGACTCCTGGATTTAAGTACATTGTACTTAAATCCGAGAGTTGCGGATTCGAAAAGACTGGGTGGTGTAGGAAAATAGTTACGTGCAAGCCCAACAGGCTTAGGCTGTCACCTGCGCGCAACACATATTCTCCGAATGAGGATGAAAGCTTCGAGACTTCGGTTGTATCGAAAACCAGAGGTTGAGCACCCCTGAGAACAAGATGTCCTCCTGAAGACTATCTCGGCCCGAGTCCCGCGGGAAACCTCTTCCTTCCTACCGTTCCTATCTCAGGACACTCTGTAGCCTATTCAGATACCAGGCTCACCCTACTGCTCTCATGTTAGTCAGTTTGCAAGAGAGAGAGAGAGAGAGAGAGAGAGAGAGAGAGAGAGAGAGAGAAAGAGGGTGTATCTGCATTTCCAAGGACAAGCAACACCGTGCAGAATTGTAGAGGGTATAAGTACGACCGAATATTCGAGTGCTCTTATACATTGCAGCCTAACCACACCTCGTGCAAAACGTATTTTGCGAGCCTAAATATCCCGGGTTCCTGGTCGCAACACGACACTATCTCGCAGGTAGGTACCTTCGAGAACGAGTTATCTGGTCCCTTATTTCGCAGATCGTTACGAAGGATGATAGCAAGGGTGGTAAACTGATATCAAAGTCGTTGACGTTTCTACAAAATTGCACTGCGTCCCCGTTCTTTCGTTAATACAAACAGACGTTTGCTGTTATCACGACTTGTAGATTTTTTTAATTTCAATTGCAAGAGACTTTGGAATAAAATCTGTGTTCCATAGATAAGCGCCAATGTATAAAATGATGACATAAGTAGTTCAATATCCTCTAATATGGGCGAGTGGCAGAGAAATCACAATACTAATTGTACAGAAGAAACATGAAAATGAAATACAATGAACGTCACTCACCGGTCGATGATCACTGGGTCGCTTGGCGTTTCGTTCCTGTTCCCGCAACTTTTTTTATCGCAACACCGACTGGAATTAAAACAAAATCATTGGTCAGACATTAGTATGGTTAACTTTTGAATGTTCTATTGACGAGGTGCGCATTCTTTCCTTGGAATATTCAGAGTCGCCTAAAAACTATCGGAACCCTTGGGACTTGGTGAGTTCGGGGGTGACGGGTAGTCAGACCGAAGTCCCATGGGCCAATGAGTCAGCCACCCCTAGAGAATGATTGCGCCCCCGTACGTTTCGTTACGTTTATGGTTGGCCACCGCAAGGGTCGGCGCTCGCAGGAAGAGCAGATACTTTGCTCTACCTGCATATTTGCATACAGTAAAAATCTCGTCATTAAAACATGTCCGAGATTAACTGCTACCATAAATCCTAGCATTATGCCTATTAATTGCAATCTTTAAATGGAAGATCGTTTAAAACTCACCTGCACATAACTTCGTGAGTAAGAAGAACCCTGCACATTTCAGGATTTTTATCCTGACCCTCGTACATGATAGCCTGAAATAGAGAAAATAAAATTATTTAGTAATAAACATTCCAGTTATAAATAAAGTCTTAAATGCAAGTAACAATAGGTCGTCTGAACATTTTAATTATGCACTTCAATACAAGAATTCCAGAATACAAACTCTAACGCTGAAATAAACGATAATACTATTTTATAGATATAAGTCAAAGGGTATTATACCATTAACGACATTCGTATACAATGCGGAAACTGATAGAAAACACACGTCAAAAACCTATCTTCACAGTTACAAAATGTGCAAGGCCATCTCCCCTAGAACATCGCTAAGCCATAGGCGGCTTAAGCAAATCCGCTAAGCTTCCTTCGCAACATTCTGATTGATTTTTATTTAATGGCAACATGTCGTTATCCTGTATTCATACACTTACAGTTGGCGAATAAGACACGGATTAGCCTCGGAATAATAAGATGTGGTCAGATCACACCCTTTCGATTTCGTATAACGAAATGCTTCGAGTAGCGATGAATGATTCCAAAACAACACCGTATGATAATTAATAAATTCAGTATCAGACTATCAGGAATAAAAGTCGTACTAATACTAATATCCGTATGCATGCGCTTTTGCGGTAGTGGTGCATTTTGTTTAATCGTTTCTTACGTATAAAACTGGTTATATTTGAATTGTTCACTATTACGCTGTTATATATTAAATTAGTATTTATCTAAAATGTAAAGCCTCATTTATTAACAAAACTCCGTAAAGGCTGATGCAAATATCATTTTCGTTACAAATTAATCAAAATATAAACTATAATTAATTCCACTGAGTTGATTAACGATTGCACGTACAAATAACATCGGATATTTACGTAAATTACAATGGATCTCGTGTAATCGCGTGAAAGCAATAATTTCATTCGCTATTTGTTACAAAGCCGAAGCAATGTCAACCAGCCTCGGAGATTTGTATTTATACACGTCAGACACGTTAATCGTATCGCTTGTACGTAAAATTTATGCGCAAGTTGCTTCGTGCACTACGTGTAACAATCTAAATTGCCAGAGTTCGCGAAGAAGCGATAAAATGTAAATACTTTGAAATACAGTGTCCCAGGGAATTGGTCGAGTTGACGTAGCTTCGCATCGGCGTCGGTTACCTATTCGACCTGCGGAGACCGAGTTGAATAGCGGAGGACGCCGAGCCGTGCCGCGTCGGAAACGATATCAAATACATTTTGCCTCGGCAGTTAGGTGCGACTTTCAGTGCGGCATCAAATATTTATACGAGCAAAATAACCGAATTGCAACGTAAACGAACCGCGATGGTTGTGCGCGCGCGGCTGGTAGGTAAATCAGAGGAGAATCCCTCGTCGAAGTGGAAACGTTAGCAGGAAAATAGAGGGCCAAAAATAAACACGGAAGAGAGAGGAGGGATGCGGGATCGAGGAGCGAAAGAGGAAAAGTACACGCTCCGCGGAAAGGGAAAGGAAAGCGAAAGGAGGTATAAAATGTTTCGTGTCCTTCGCCCGTTTCGGCTTCTAATCGTTGGCCAACATGCGATCTTATTTGTAACAAGAATAATTAATGAGGGTGTCTACCTGACACGCATTAACCTTAACTCTTAAGACATTGACTATTGACTATCCGATTAGTTACTTAACCAAGTAACGATTCTTGAAAATTTCAATTACTTTGATCAATACTGTACTTATGAAATTATTTTCATGTAAGAAAAAATTTAGTCGAATGGATGATCTAATGTTAAGGATGTATTTTTGATATAGCCAATACATCCTTAAAAATGTTATTCTGTTTTCTAATGTATACGAATACGATTGGAGGTAACTTGATGCACTTTTCCAAATAGCTTTCTGTCAACTTGAAACTGTAAATACATAAGGAAGGAAATGGTGATTCATTAAGTTAAACGAGAAGAGACGGAGTAGAATTAAAAACAGTGGTACACTTTTATACGAAGATGTCATTCATGTGCACACGGCATTTATCGTTTTTACACATAACGATTATTGGACAGGTCAGGTACACCGTGTCATAAGACATGCGATATTATTTGCTCAGTAACCGTTACCACAGGTACGACACGTATTGTTGATTTTACGTATCTATTTTACTCGGGCAATTTCGAGCAATTAGTGTCTACTACCCTATCATTCGTTCTCGTGAAATTTAAAGTCCTTGTTTGTCTTCATTGTACCCATTGGGACGACAATTTTTTTTATCAATAACGTACGTATGAGAGAAGTGAATATCGATATCGACTTTAATAATTTTCAGACAATTTTATAAATATTAAATCTGCTTCTTTAGCAGCGTCTCAAGTATTACGTAAGTGGTCACGTCATGTGTATTCTCAAGAAACGTCTGACTCAAATAGTAAGTGAGTTTGTAAACTAACACTGTCAGATGAGTCGTCTTGGGATTGCAACCAGTCAGCATTGGCCCCTCGGAGGCCTTTCTTCCGTTGACGCTTGGCCCCAGTAGAAACGTTTGGGTCCTCGTTGATCCAATTCCCACGGGAATTACTTACAAAGAACTAATAGCGATAACGTACCAGCGTTGCTGGTTTTGAAATATTTCATACAGAGAGACGTACAGTATACATTCATTATCTTTAAACTAATCAATTGCTAATAACTCTTGTACTCTCCCTTACTTCTATGCGACTTCTACTGAGCTAACATTCGAGAGAAACTTATGTTATACTAACTGCAAAAGCATACAAGATTATTTGACAAATTAAAAAAACCTACCCTTGAAAATATTAAATTATCTCATGACTAGAAATTGTTTGATGTTATTAAAATTAAAGGATAGGCAAATTTATTTGCTACACATATTGTGCAGTACAAATAAAATTGAGAAGTTGATCTTGTTTATCGAGAAGGAAGCTATGCACTTGGCAGTAAAATCATAAGGTTATTCCCGACGAGCGACGAAGGTGGAAATAGAACGAAGAAGAAAAGAAGAGGGCGCAGATAAATACGAAGATAGTCATTCAAATCTGCTGTAATGATTTCCATCCCGAATCGATTCCAAAATCCCCTGGGAATCTCCCTCTGTACCAGTCGTGCAACCCCTACATTGGCTGACGTATACACCGTCGAACAACGTGCATACAATATTACTTTCACCCTTGGAAAGAATGTCCATCGCCTGGGGGACAAGCGACGTGCTCTCTTTCCCATCTTATCTGCCGAGGATTAACTTATCTCAAACTTATTATTTCCTTAATCTATAGTTAAATACTCATATTTCAGTATTACGTACGACATTCGAGGGTTGATTCCGATTCGACTTGGCAATGTTTAAGCATTATGAACAGTACTGGTGGACCTCGTCCTTAAATATTTTTACAAACTATAAAAAAAGGGAAATTGTATTCTGAGAGGGTGCGAACTTATTAAGGAAGCAAATATATGTATAGATAACAGAAACAGTAACATGATGTACTGTGGTAGCGTATGTAGTATCAATCTCTAAGTATCTTCGTTGATTCTTTTCTGAATTCCCGTGGGCGGTATATCGCAAAAAAGGGGAGTTCCGACTGATCATCTCCAGCGGCGGATGGAAGTTAGAGCTTAAAAGGGTTAGGTACAATTTCCTGTTGTTCATTCATTTAAAATAACGAGGGTACGCGGTTTGCTGCTTCTCCGTAGCCGCTTTTTTCCTGTAAATGCTTTTTTATCCCCGGAACTAATTACAATTTAGCATTTTTAATCCTGCGAAAAAGCGCATTCCAGCCCTCCCACCTTCTACTCCGCCCCTTCCTGGCCGGAAGTTCGTTCTCAAGCGCTTACAAACGTACGTTGTTAGCGCCATTCAGCCGCGGCTACGCGCCGCGCTCTTTTTCTTCCTGTACAGGCTGCTCGTATTTTTCTAGAAATTTCAACGAGAAAAACGCGCAGCAGTTCTCGACATTTCTGTATTTTTTTTCCCCCCCGCCCCCTTCCGCTTTCCCGTCGAGAGTGCTCCCGGTACTCTCCGATGCGCCCCCGCGCGCCGCGCTAAGCGAAAGTAGATATAGATACCCACCTTGGCCAGAAGCGAAGAAATTGAAGAACAGCTTAAGGGTAGGAGGGCTTCGCCACGGGCTCAGGCAGTCGGCTCGGTGTAGCCAATTATTGCGGATTTATAACCGACCACTTGATTCGGTCTCGACCAACTCGGCCGCATTTCCGAATTGGAATTTGTGAGCCGTAACTTGGCGTTCAACTATGAAATTTTTCGCCAGTAGCCTAACAAGTAGTTTAGTGGTAAACGGAAATAGTTTTTCCAACCGAATAACGATTATAAATTTTTTACCATCGTAATTTTATTGTACGACATATACATATAACACGTGAAAGTTTCAATACAGATAAATTAAATACCTAATATTGCATGAAATCTTATTAACGGTTTCACAAGAGTTCTTTCGAACGCGCAACTATCATGGAATACCGGGTTCGGTTTTTGCTTCCACAGATTTAATCCGTCGAACTCCGGGCGTTTGTTAATTTTTCAGGGCACGATACGTAGTAAGAACACGTCAACCCAGATTTGCTAAACACTCCGTACGAGTTGTTGCGCGAAACTCCATACACGGCCAGAGTAAATATATATCGATTCTCATGTCTGTATGTCTTCCTCTCGCTTTGCCAGAATGGAGGAGACGCGTTCAATCGAGGCTTTGATGTATAAATTGCAGCTTTCTCGTTTTCGATCCTGCCCTCCTCCCTATCCGACTTTCTACTCCCTTTACTGGCACGATTCCTCCATAGAGACGGAAAGGGTATCCCGGCATCTATCACTTCCGCTTTTCTTTTCCTCATGGACAATCGTTCTGGAGAACTATCGAGGCGTTTACTCCGTTCAAGATTCCGTTTCATTCTTTTATCGACGTTCCTACCAGTTTCAAAGCCAGCTACTTACTTTGTTCCTCTTTTCATTTCTACTAAAGTCAAGTTTCGTAAACATTCAGAAAACGATATCGATACAGTTGCTTGAAAATGTGTAAAACATTTTTAACGCTATAGTCAATTACTTTTTCATCTAAATACGTCTGCTATAATTCTAACTGCACGATATAGGACTCATAAAATGTAGGGAACGATAATTATCTGCGAGCATCTCATCCCATATTCGTTTTATCTCTTCCGGAAACTCCTAATGCAAGTTCTAATACCTTTTTAAACTTGTCGCAAATCGGTCCCTGAAAGATATTCAACCTCACAACTCAGATGCAATTAATAAAAGGAATGGATCGTGAATTGAAGAACGGTCTCTGCCAACGCAAGGCCACCGCGGCTTAGTAATTTAATCAGCTAAAACTAACATCAGCTCTGTTTCCCCAACCTTCCTCCTCGTCCTCTTTCTTCTCCCTACTGCTCTTCTTACCTTCGTAACCGACCAACCCCAAGATGATTTAATCTGCTAAAATGTGCGGGTACCTATAGACACTTACGAGCCTAGAGTCGCGACACGAAACAAAATAATTCAAGAAAGTAGCCATACCTCTCGCGAACTAAACGTACAGCTGGTTACACTAAGAAATTCATTTATCTACACAACAGGTATTTCAAACAGTTTATGCAAAATCAAGTCAAACGTCTACAATTTTTCTACTTATTTTTTAATATAAATCGTTTTATGTTTGAATATCTTTGTAATTGAAATTTATTATCTTGTTCTTTCAATGAATGTAATGTCATGATTAGATGTAACGTAAATGAATTTTTCGAAAGTCATCGTAGGATAAAAAAAACAATATGAGAATAACGAGAAGGAAAAAAATTTTGATCAGGTATTTATCTGAATTTCATCAACCGTTTACAGAATATTAAATATTCCTCACATACACAGTTGTTACGTGTTTCGTATACATGGTAGGCGCGAAACGCGGTTCACAGAAAGGGCTTCGTGGCCAAAGCCAAAAGAGCACCCTCGCACGTACAAAGGAGCTTATCGTGTCCGTGATCAGGCCGCGTATTTGCGTTTGCTCGAAGGTTATGATCCTTCTTTGCGTCCTATCACCGCGGCAGGATCTACGGCCCTGTGTACAGGGTCACAACACGTGGTTCGCGGACCGTGCGCAGGGTTCGCCACGTGGCACAGATAACACGATGGGGCAGACGCGGCGGCGGTAGCGGCGGCCGTCGCTTTTCTGGAGGGGTAGGAATCAACCCCCCGGAAAATTAAGTGTTTGTAGCTCAGATGATAATGCTCTCAGCAGCAGGATCGCGTCACTGCGACTATTCTGGCGGAGTTCTGTCACGTGGAAACTTCAACCGAGAGCAAGGGAATCGTGTCGAGTTACGAATCGAGTGCCTTAACAAATTTTCATTCCATCGATTTATCTAATTACGAGTATTTACTAAAATATGAATTAAGTAACAGCGATATAAATACAATTCTCTGAATTACTTACTTTACTTATGATATGCTTTGGTCACAAATTTGAGAACTGAACAATAACCAGTTTTGGCTTTGTTAAGTCAATTAGGTGTGTTATTGTACATATAAGGAAATGAAAGAAATAAGAATGCACATTCTTACCTGTTTCGTTGCAGAGTCAATGAGCCTCACGTAGATGTCTTGCACCTGTCTGACACCTGCAACAACAGAAACAAAAAATTTATACAAAACAGAAAACTACAAATGTGTATGAAAAGAGGAATGGACCCTATAAGCGTGGATAAACGAGTGTAAGACTGTAATAATCGTTTTGTAACTAACAAACAACGTGAACAAAACAGTTCTCGAGGTTCTGTACACAAAATCCGGTACGGCAATAGAATGGGAAATGGATGTGCAAATCGAGAAGAGAGTTAGTTACGCCCTTTTCGGCACCGAAAACAGTTTCGAATTGTTTTTTTCGTTTGATACAAAACGCGCTGCTACGAGCTGCTCTTTATTCAATTTAACCAACGAGAGTTTTTCATCGATTCGGTAAGAAGGCCCATTAAGTTAAGAGCGTTGCGCGCAGGCATTTGCTACGGATGTGCATGGAATACGACGAATACGGAAACGAGTCCAAATTCTGACAAGTTCGGCGCCGCTGAAAGAGACTGTCCAGAAAAACTTACATATTAAGGAGCACTTAAAGTGGACGACGAGGTAAGCGGTCTGATCGCATCCCCGGGGACGTATGCACAATCTCCGTTGTTTTTGTATGGACCCAGCCCGTACTTTGTACTTTGTACCGTCCAGGCACCGACTTCACCAAGCCAGATCGCTATGCAACGAACCATCGCGACAAGTCAAATTCTTGTACGTGCAACGCGCTAATTATGCCCGCTACCGAGCGGCTATTCCCGTTGTTTCGGGGAACTCAACGATCTGACCGTCTCCGCTGTAGAATACACGGTTGATAGTCACTCACCGAACGATCGTGACCAATATTTCGTATTAAACGTATTCAACGATGCTGCGTAATTTACGCACGGGTTCGGTCGCGAGAAAAGTTCCGCAACTTAACGCGCAACTTATTCCGCGGATGAACGGTAAGTGCGAGCTCTAATTAAAATTTGCGCGAACGACATTTTAATCATACAAAATTGCGGCCATTAGCGACAGGTTAATTCGTTATTACCGTCTCGATAGGCCAACAGCTCGCAGTTTATTACCACGAGGAAGCAATTTTGTCGCGTGATCAAGTATCGTGTGTGCGCATTACCGCATTATTACTATCCGTTATCGGTAATCGAGTCGAGTTCGACGTTTCTATATACATTTCGCGGTTAGCAAGTTTTCAAATAGTTTCTATCTTGCAGAGGGTAGAGACGGGTAATCCCTGGGTGTATTTTGGACAGACACCCCCGTGGCTTCCGGCCTCGCGTGTCCGGTAAGTCAAGTAATCCCGACATAAGACTACCAGACCCGGCGGCGGCTAGTAGCACGAGCCGAGCTCACGCCGCATAACGTTACCATGGATTACTATATTCCGGCCAAAACTAGCTCACAAATTACCTCGAGAAACCGTCGCGGCTTTACCGGAAGTTACTTGCTTCGCTCTCTCCGCCCGGTTTACCAGTTTCCATCCGTGGCTGGCTAGAGAGTAGCGGTGCCAGGATTTGCCGCGAACAATGGAACATCGATTATGCGAGTTGATTGGAAAACGTTCCGGCAAAGACGACGGGCGACGGTCATCCGACTGTTGCCTGTTTTGCGGCAATAAAACGATTCTCGTCATTAGACCGGAATGCTAACGGTTTCTGCAATTTAATGCAATTATAACTGCGTCTTGTTTTGCTCGTCTATTCCATGATCGCACAATTGTTAATGACATTTGTTAAGCTTGTACGATCTCTGACAAGAGTTTGAGAAGTGTAATAAAAAACTGTGTATAATATTTGAAGCGACAAACTTTTACAGAAAATTATGAAGCAGTAAGGTTTATAAAATCGTTCTACATGTTTTCCTAAGTCACTGGCAATTATTAAAGTATAGTTTATAGTATTGATTTTGGCACTTCTTTATTTGCAACTGTTTACATTGTCTACAAGTCCTACAAGCTTCACTTTTGCTTACTTTATTTCACCTTTAAAATATTCTTAAAACATGTATCAACAATTATACAAAATTATAAAATTCACGATATAATAACTATTTCAATAAAAATAAATAATTAAAAATGAAGGAATAGAAAGACTTGTGGTTTTTCACTTCTAATTTGATTTGAAGAATGACGTGGAAACTTCTCGCAACTAATCTTGAGAACAATTTATACTTTAAGTTTTTCATTGAAATATCTCGTGAAGCAGTCCAAATTTGTATACCGGCTATCCTCCGTGGATAGCAAGGAACGCGGTACTTTATAAAACGCGTTCAGTTCATCGGATAACGAGGATTGTCTCCATTCCCGATGCTTGGTATGTAAACAAGACAGTATAAAATCAGTCGTCGAACGAGCGAATTCATTTATGCAAGCACGTCGATGCATCTTTAAGGAAGCCACGATTACCACGGCGCGGAGCGCGAGGCGGCTGAGACGTGCCACGTGAAACGTACGTGTACATTTATCAGAGACGTTGCGGCGACTCATGATCATGCCTCGACGAACCAACCACTAACGACAATAAAGGCAAAAGGATCGAGAAGAAGCAACGTAAGAAGCTGTATCGCGTGCCAAGTCCTGCTGAGAGGAGGCGGATAGATCCGTCCGTATTAGCATAACTAGGCAACCAACTTCAACGCGTACAAGAAGTCATCGAAAAAGCGGACACCACCCATTTTATTCCCTTTGATCGGCATTCTTAATCAGCGGCGCTCTTATTACGAGCCGTTATATTCCACCAAGCTGTTCCGCGGTTCAGCTTACCCGTTCACTCTATTTTCTACTTGTCTCTTTCTCTGGATGACATCTGCTTGTATCCGTTGCTCTCCGTTCGATTCATACGTCCATCACGCGCACCTCGCCTCGTCTCGCAAGGAGGTGCAAGGAGATCGGACCGACGAGAGAAGCAGAAGCGAAACGGACGACGGGCATGAAAGAAACCGAACGAGATGGAAAGAAGGGGGGCGATGATAAAAAGAAGTAGAACCTGATATGGAGAAGCCCCGTCGTCACTTGGACGGTAGACCGTGTTTCTCGTTTATTATTTAATTATTGATTTATTGCTATCTCGAGTGATGGGTGACGATGTGCAGATTCGATCGTATGAGCAACAGCGAAGGGGTAGAAAATCAGATGCGTGTTTCCGCGTATAAGAGCTCGCTCCAATTTGTCTCCGTGATATAAATGCCACGCGGCGAAGTATTTCGTGCGTGAAATTTTTATAGAGTGCGTCTCGAGAGTCCGTACGGAAGACCGATTTACGAATCGAGGCATAAATCAGAGTCCCGACGAGCTGCCGACTCACTTTAAAGGACATAACCGGTATTTGGATAGAAGACGTATAGACTCCGTTATAACGGAACATTTCATCCCGCCGGTTATTTATTGGAAATCGCTACTGTCCCTACATTTTTATTGACAAAAATAATATTATGATCAGTGTTTTCGTACTATTAATACGTCTCTACAAATTACATGCGATTCTAAAATCTTAATCGTCTTGACATTTAAAATTCATACGTCACTATGGCTGTTTAAATGATGTTAAATAAAATATCATTCTTACTATTCGATGAAAGAGAAATGTTACAACAGATTGGAATGAAAAATTCACCAAAGGAAAGAAAATAATATAGATAGAAAGTCGAAGCAAAAGTGAAAAATGTACGATAATTTCAAAAGCCCTTATAAGTATTCTGTAGGTCGGAACAGTCGATTATTTCTTATTTGCGATGTTGGCAACACGTTTTAGTGTCCATAGATGGTAGAGCGGCCCTCAGACAGTCCTGGCAACGCAAAAATCCCGCATTGATTGATCGGCCCGCAGCGGTGGAGGCAAGAAGCCGAATGGTATGAGCCGCGGAAAAGAGAAAGGGGGGGCGGCCGGGAAAGGGGCAGGACAAGGGAATGGAAAAGAAACTCGAGGGGGCGATGCACACGAGAGAAAGAGGCACGAAACGACGGACAAGAACACATCCAAAGAAAGTACACGCGGAGACATTAACATTGTTCCCGATATGCACAAAGTGAAAAACCTTTGGATGAAAGCCAGCGGTTGGATACCGTCTTCCGGCTATTTAATATGTTCATAATACGAGTACATTTTTGAACCGCCTGTTCGGCTTGGACCACCTCTAGATCGCTGACTTCTTCTGGTTCTTCCCTTTCATCCGCATTTCTCTTTACCTCGGCCCGTTCACGCACAGACATTCGAACACTTCTTCAGGTCGGTAGCTTTTTTGTCGGTACCGGGCCAGTGACATAAAATATGTCTCTGTTGCGCTCGGGCCTCGAAAGTTCCTGAGCTTTTTAGTGGCCCTGAGAGACTGGGTGTCTGCATGGAATGTTGAAGGCCCGTCATCGTCGCTTTCGATGGGGTTATTACATCGTCCGACTTTTCGAATATTATGGCACATATTGTTAGATCTATTTTCAATTTGACCAACACCGAAACTAAATGAGTTGTTCTACGGGTAATTTCATAGATAATCGATGAAGTTCAATTTTCACTAATCAATTAGGTAACAATTATCGAAGTTGTTAATATTTTCAATTAGTTGGACGAAGTATTTCTCTTCATTGGTTGTTAAGAGGTTTAAGCTACAGTAAATATGCTGGAGCTTAGTATTTATAATTTGATGCAGTACGTCATAATTAATGATCTGTACACTCACCATTAGAGTACAGTAGATGTAGACTATATTGAATGCCGTTGTTCGTTTTTTGGCCCTCGGATTCCTGAAAGATAACATAATAAGATTAAAATAATTATTATTTTTATATGTTATGAAATAATTGTAAATATATTATATAATAGCTGAGGATCTTCATGAAATTGATGTACAAAATTTTATTATAGGCTTAAAGAAAACAGTTAAAAGGGTCAACTTCCATTTTTTCATTTGTAATTGCGTTCAATTATAATTATTTTCATGTAAAAAATATTTTATTACGTATCATTATATCATGTACTAAACTAGTTCCTGAGAAAATAAATAAAAATCGTATAGACTAATATTAAAAAATTTGTTCTGTTACAGAAACTTTATGAATACCTACTGTACTCATTTAGTAGAAAATTAAATCAGGCAACGTCTTTTCCAATTACACGGTATACATCTATCCGCTAATTCATTACTACGTCTATGCGACTGAATTTCACGGGTAAATCTCGTTAATCTTGCTAAATTTCGTGCGTGCTTAAATCGTTTCAAACGAACGACGCGCGAAGGAACGGAGATTCAACCCCCCGCGCGTTCTTCGCACCCCCGGTCTATTTTAATTAAGTGCATCGTGACGTAACTCTCGCGCTCGGTCTGCTCCACCTCACGCTAATTATTAATTTCTTGATGTGCCGGTAAGAGCCGTGCCATTACGTATGGCGTGCGATGCATAATTATCATTCTGCCCTGTTGACGAGTCATGCGTGCATCGTGCCATATGCCGCGGCCGCGGTAATGCATTTTCAACTACCTCTGCCCCTTGAAACATCATCCAGGACACGACCCCCGTTACGTGGCCGGAACATTTAGTCGCGTATACAACCTTTACATACTACTTCAATCGGTTTGTCGAAAAATAAATGTAATTACAGATTCCACTTTCTGATTTGTCACAATTCGAATATAGCTGAATCCACAAGAACGAATGAATCATAAAATAAGAAACAATAAGAACGATTTTTCTATTGAGACTCGATACAACGAATAATTGTGGTTAGTTCGCTGATAAGTCGGCATCGTTATCTCTTTCCTCGCTGCGTGTCTGCGCATTAAGCTCTATCCTGTCAGCTCTATCAGTCAGTCGCAGCCATTAATCTTTAAATTCGCGAGCGTACGATGAACGCTAATCAGGTATAGTATATACAGGTCGCTCGATCCATGATTACTCTTTAATTAAACACGAATACATACGCGAAAGGATACCCTATATATTTACATAGGGCAATAATTTCCGAGAATTGTGCGTTTCTAATCGCGTTTATGCTCTATTTATAGATTTTATGTTACTTGTTATCTACACGTCAGCCAACGAAATGATGCGGCATCGATCAATTCATTTAGTCATTGGACATCATATAAATAATTGGGTTTGGGTAAAAATATGTAAATGCTCCCTAATGCCTGTCGACTTAGCGGGAGCGAGGGCGAAAACAGGAGTAGATGCGCTCAAGCACAAACGGCTACTCGACACCGGGTCTGATCTATGCTCCCGGTGCATGACCCTAATTAATAGAGAGGGTGCTATGCAATGCAACTGTCCTGCTCGCGTGAATTATACATAAACATCCTCTTAGGGAGGAATGGAGATATCAAGATAATCAATGGAAATCGAACCCTAGGAATAGAGAGTACCTTTATTCACTGACGTTTCATTAACTCCTGCTATCTTATTTTCTACGCAATATAATACTGAAATCAATTAATCAATCTTAAGAGGTTGCTTGTCGCGTACGAAATCTAATTAAATGATTTCAGCTTTTGTGTCGTTCACCAAGTTTCTTTAGATAGTCGCGGGTTTCTGGGCTCGGTCAAAAATTCTTTTGCCAGAGATAGAACGTGTAGGCACTCGATTTACAACGTACTACTTATACTAACTTGCACGGTAGAGCAATAGGAAAGGGGTACGCAACCGTTCGCGTGGCTGTCTCTGTTCGAACAAGCCTCCGATTGGAGTAACCGATTTCTTTTGCGCAAGAATGAGCGGTGAATCGCGTGTGTGCGGTCAGCTTTTCCTTAAACAGCTATACTAATTGACCAATAGAAAGTGGATCTCTAACGATGACTGCACGCTGACAATCGCATCCCGTTCCACAGCGTTCGCACGGGATCGCCACGGCTCTTCGAATACAAGCCGAACGTCATTTCTATAGATGATTCTAATTTAGCGACCGGAGGCCGATCGGCTTGATCGCGATCATGAGCGACTCTTTATGTTAATTGAGAGATCACGAGGATGACGGGATTTCACCGTGACAGGAAGGTGACCAACCAGACCAGACGAATGATTGGGAAAAAAAGTTGATTCGTCAAACGATTAGAAATTGTACGCAACTATGTGTGTCTTGTATACATATGTATAATATAATGATAGGTACAAGCAGGTTCCGAAAATGTATTGGTTCTGACCGAAACAGTTACGCCAAAAATGTCACAGTAACTATCATCAAAAATCATCAGCTTACATAGGTACTAAATATTCTAATTCGAATAATATATGAACCATAAACTTTAGGATGGCAATCATGGATACGATTCAATGACAAAACAGAAAAATTGCATTCTTGGAACGACTACAATGAATTGCACTTAATTAATACAATTCGTAGAAATATCTTGAAACTTGAAGAATGAACTACATAACGGCTTCATTTGTAGAATTCTTGTTCCTATTTCGTCGAATGAAAATACATCAGGCCTTTAATGTGCAATTCGCTTAGACATGGAAACATTTATAAAATTCTAATTCTAAATTCTACTCACATTTTGACTTGAAATGTTTTATTTGTTGACGTAATTGTAAGACGTAAGGAACAGATATTAACTGACGAATTTCTACCGAGCGATTTAATAACAAATGTTCGTAGAGATACAATTGGCGATAGAAACAGGGAGACGCGGTGAAGGAAAGAAAATGAAAAACTCTGTTAATACTGGGCAGGTTGCTCGATCGCGTGACCACACCGTCGCAGCACACCGATGCTCTTACGATCGCGTCTGTCCATTTCTCACACGGCCAATGGATTTTCGCCTGTCGGACTAATTGCTGGAAAAGCTGGAGGTGTATCCCGGGCCCGGACTATCGGTATGTATACGTATAGGCGGAGCCGTTTAATATTTGACGTCATCCCCCGATGGAAACGGCAATTATCGAGATAAGCGCACGCTCGCGCGATATTCCCTGATGTCATAAAGATCCACCTCACCTTTTTTTTTTTCACTTAATCTCACGAGAGAACCGGAGCTACGACGAGTATTGAAATTCCAAAGTTGTCACTTGACATCGTAGCTCATTCCTCAACGCGGTACGCAAATACAATTTTCTCTTGATTCACAAAATGCCACGAGACGCGAACTTGCTTTTCGATTTTTTGGTTATTCTTTTATGGATATTTTTATAATTTTAGTCTATAGGTATGTAATACGAATTTATACATATAATACAATGTGTCTAAATTATTACCTGGTCTTTTTCCACAAATCCCATGAAGGAAGTCCTTTCTATCTCGATAGGCTGGCCGTGTCGATCATAGAGAGCGATCACGAAATGGAAAAAATTACTCTTTCGTAAATTGCTCGGTGGTTGTTTCTCGAAATGAGCTCTGCCCACACCGACTCTGAAATTCAGACATAATATTTTGTTTATTACGTTGTATTAGTTGTGTTATTTACAAAATAATCTTATAAATACGAATTGTAGCATAGAAAGATTTCTAATAAAAGACTGGATTCAATTCTATTCCTTATACTCCTTAAACTTTTGCAGAAATCATACGGATCACACAATCTTAACATTCTTGCCACATGCATTTATTATTTCGCGGCGTTCTTCAAGAATTGCGAGAATTTCGGTACGGACACCGAGTATGAAAACCGCGCGCATGTATTCGCCGCGGCGAACGATCCACGTTACCAAATTCGGACGTCAAGAGTGAGATTCTCTATCGTAGGGTCACAAATAGGTATGTCCTATTCGGCCTTGAATGCAATAAGAATGACCAAACTGGTTGGAGAGGAAAGACAAACGAGGCTGTCCGTGGGGGAGCGCGCAGGTGGCCTCGACGCCTTAAAATCCCATTAAGGTCTCATGTGCTGAGATTAGGCCACCGGACTCCAATGCCATCTTTGAGTAATGGCACGGAAAGTCCCCTTTTCGAGTGCGCTACTTCGCGTAGCATGCCTAGTGTACGCGCGCGATTACGCTTTGATTGATCCCGTAAAACGTGACTTCTCACTCAACGCTTATAGTACCACAATTCATGATACCGCGTCTCGTACGACTGTCTTCGACGATAACAAGCTGTCAACATTGACACGAGCACGGACACGAACGTATGTACTTAAGACATTCCTTCCTTTAAATATGAATTTTCAAGATTTTTTCATTCAGAGACAGAAATTTTTATACGTAAATGCTATGATAAAGAAGAATGATTTTACAATAACAATGTAAATCGTCAATTAATTCAATCTGTGTAAGTTTTTTCATGTTTATTAATAATATCAATTCAATGTATAATAAATGTAATAATGTAATGTAATGTAATGTAATGTAATGATGTAATAATTATGCTATCAATTATTGTCAAATAAATAATTGATTGTATGAACAAATATGTAAAGGTTGAAATAAATATTTCATAAATCATAAATATTTATAGCACGCTATAACATTAATTGTTATGAAGCCTGGAGTATTTATATAAATCATTCACTGCAATTTTCAGTGTTCCCTAATTATCGCATTTCTTTTATACTACAAATGATTCTCCTAAAAAATTTATTCTGATTAATTTCAGGAATCACTGTCTAACTTTACGAACATTAAATCAAGATATTCTGCCAGCAGATTAAAAATAAAGAAAAAAATATTATTTAATGTTCTTGGTGAAATGCACTATTAAGAATAATCTACATTATGCAATTTGTTTAATATTATAAAATCAAATGCTTTGATTAAATAGCAGATACTTCTGATTTAAAAATAATTATTCATCGATATTGGGGTGTGATTCGTCAAAACGACGTGTATCGAGATGTTTAAACCCTAGTCTAATTGTATAAGAATTGAGGAGCTGGTTAGAAACCACGGTGGAGAAATCGCATTATCGGGTGACATGTCGATGGCGGTGGATCGCGATCGCGGCTGCGGTAATAGCGGCGTGGCGCGCGAAGCGATAAAACGATCGCGTGGAATGCGAGCGTCGCATCGCGCGGGCTCCACCATCAGTGCGGACTCTCGGAGCGGAAAACTGAATCGACTGGACCGAAAATGAATAGCGGCAGTTTTGCAGCACATTTGCGAAATAAATGATGGTATCGGCGGTGCGTTTGTCACGGCAGGCGGTGGGATGTCGGTCTACCGGCAGGCAGAGGAGCCAAAGCTGGAGGAGGAGGATACAAGGGGTCCGTATCCGAGAGAGTGAAAGGGGATGGTGGATTCAATGCAAACAGGAGCGAGAGAGAGGGTCAGCGGTGCGAGGGAAGGAGGCCACTAGGGTGGCAGAGAGAGGCTGGTAGGGGTAGTGATGTACTGCCCGTGTCGATAATTATCGGTGGCTGATTAACCGGCCGCCGGTTCGCGCCCCATAACTCTCGACGTCCGATTATTTTGCCCCGTTTGCCATGCACCAATTCCTATATAACGTGTAGGCACGTCCTACCGCGCCTTTACATTATCACCTGCGATGCGATACTGTCGCACACCTTTTTGGTAACTATCACGGCGTGCCAATGTTTCGCGGTTTCGGAATTATGCTTACGTTCGAATGATAATAATCAATACAATCACGATCTATTAAATAAGAAACGGATGTCCAAAACATTTCATCCATCTCTCTCTTCAGGCAGTTCTATTAAAATATCAGATCAGACAAAATTTCTAAAACAAAGAAGCTCAATTTGTACTTTAACACTGAAATCTATAGGAGTCATAAGTCACTAGAAACTATTTAAATGATTGATGATTTTGAAATAAAAAAATAACGTGAATCATGTGTACATTCATATAATTACTTAACAATGTTATACTTAATATACTTTATTTTTTACATATGACTTCTTTGACTCGCATAAATATGGAAATTCTTATTACGTATATTCACTTGACTTCAGAATTTTAATAGAACCATCTTAAACTTTCATTAAAGAAGAGATAGAAAATTTGATTTGAAACTCGGATTAACCCTGGACCTTGGAAATTCTGTGTGTCAGAAGGAGTTCACGCGTTTCCACGGCGGTATGACAATGAAAACGGATTTCGCGACGCGACAGAGTGAAAGTGAGGCCCTGCCGCAGCGAGTCGGATTGCACGCGGTCTTGGAGAGTCACGCGTGTACAGGCCGCGTGGAACTGCGAGGAGTCGGGGAACGTGTGTCCCCCGAGAGGAATCGTGCACAGCAACCGGTCATGCCGGCCCACGGCTATATTCGGGGACCAGAAATTGGGACGTGCCCCCCGATCGCGCGAGCCTGCGTGAACTCCGTTCACGCGCATTCCCCGACTGTTTTTCTAGACGCAGTCTCGCGCGCTTTGTTCTTTAACCCATTCGCATGCGTGACGCTATGTTTAAACGATTAGCCGATGCTGCTTTTTGTGCTGGAGACAATAACAGAGGCATTAGAACTGCATGTGAGAAAATTTGGAAATTCTTATTACGCACATTCATTTGACTTCAGAATTTTAATAGAACCATCTAAAGTACTGCGATAAGAATCTTATTTATTCTAAACGTTCTTCTATGTGATACTTGTCCATCCTTGGATGTGTATTGGTATTTCTCTTTAGAGGTGAAAGCGTATCATACTATGACTGCTTCAGCGTACACCAGGCGACATGGAGGTGATAATTACAGGCTGGTTCCCGAGTTGCCGCAATCGGGATTCGTAGGGTAGGTACAATTTGCCACGCGCCCGCTTTCGGATAGGAGATAACATTCATCCGTGGCGCGCAACGTACCCGCCGCGCTGCGCCGCGTCGCATCGCATCGCATCGCATTCGGCCTCGAGGCAATACACCCGAACCGAACCCTGCCGCGTAACTTTTCTTTCGCGACGAATCGAAGTAAACGTTGTGATTCGATCGACCGACAAAGATAACTCGATACTCGCCGCGCGCCAAATACGCAAATGAAGATGTAGGACGCGATAGGTGTCTTTCCACGCGGTACATACCAGTTTTTCCCTGCGCTCGTTGCGCCCATTGGCCCGTGCAGGAACGTTACAAATAGTTCTGCGTTTAGGAAAATGCCGGTTTAAGGAAAGAACGTGCTCGAAATAATCAAACGAGCCGAAATTTTAATCGGATACTAACTAGAATCGTGATACGTAAGATTTATTTGGAAAGTAATCTAAGATTTGTGTTATTAATGCTTTCCGATTTTCATTACAAACACTTCGAAGTTAGTTAGAAAACACTATGTTTTATATTTTATAAACAATACTATTGAGTTGGCAAGAAAATAATTTCACAAATACATATGAAATGAAACGTTATGAAAACCGAAATTATATTTTTACTAACTCAATAGTGTTGTTCATAAAATACAAAGCAAAATGTTTCTTAACTAAGAAGAATTCAAAATTTTCATATTATTTTCCACACGATTCTGACGCACCACGGTTCTCATTAGTTTTTCATTTGTTAGTTCATACAACACAATGGTTTGGTTTTACAACGCTATGTACTTGTGGAAACCGAAATTACTTTCTTATCAACCCAGTATTATAAAATTGTAAAATATTGAGTGCACTATTAGAAAAAAAAATAGACAGACTTTATAACACAAGGGGGATTGTATGTGATAACGTAAACATCGAAAGAAATGAATCGATTTATTTGGAAATGTTCAAACCAATGTCGAAAAAGCAAGAAGGTGTATGCACGTTGTATGGGAACGGAATGGATGTTATTTTTTGACCGGTAATTAAATCCCACAGTCAAGTTCGTTGGCAAAACGCGCAGCAATTTTTGGTTTATCGGTTGCGGTGTAAATATTGACGTGCTGGCAATTTGCGAGGGTAGATCGTCGAATAATCGTCCGCGCCGCGCCGCGCCGCGCCGCGCCGCGCCAGACCACGCCGCGCCACGCAGCGACGGTCTATGCTTTACACGTGAGCCGCAACCTACGCTTCGCGCACAATGCATTACGGGCGAAATATGCGGATAATATGAACCCACGGATACGGTTACGAATTCGTGGATAAAGCAATCGCGGAGAATTACAATAAATCCGCAGTTAATGTATACCGCCGGGCGTTAGTTATTACGAGTTGGCCGAAGCGCAGTCTATTTACGCTTGCATCCAATGTGATTCATAATGCGCGCGGAGATAATGAGCAATTTGTAATATATCCGAATGTAATTCGCTACCAGTCCGCTTTCCCTGTTCAATTTAACGTTGCGTTTCGCTATCTCGCCGCCTGACAAAAATGTATTAATCAGTTTATGATTGTGTCCTTTTTATACTCGGCAGTAATGCCAGAAATGTATTGAATTCATCAACAAAATTTATAAACTGAAACATAAGTGTACAATAAGTATAATAAGTATACAGCCGGAATGGCCAACTAGTCGACTGCGAAATGATTTTTGGCCAATCATAGTCAAATTTCTAATA